TAGGTGAACGTCATCGGCTGACGACGGCAAACAAGCTGAAAACGATCACACCCGTCCCCCTCTTCATTGTCGGTACCTCCAAGTAATGTTGGTTGAGATCCTTTAAAAGCTGTAAAAACGAACATTCCAGTTGTACCTCCCGCGCAGACATTTATCATCTGTCAGACACCGCGCTAAGGATCACGCGATCCGAGATCCCTAACGGGTGGAACACGCGCGCATTCGAGCTTTCGAGCGGGCAGTAGCGGGCGCCCACAAACTTTAACCACTCACTCTCACGTGGCACTTAGTCATTCGCGTCCACATCGTCCTCTAGCAGAGGCGGGTGCGCAGTTCCAGAGTCAACAAGGGGGCTGTGGCGACACTGTCAGCCTAGTTAAGTGGTACTTCCATATGTGTAAGCCTAGATGGAGACTAGACATTTCGTGAAGTTTGGTTTCTACTGAACGACACCATACCCTAGCCACCGGCGAATGTGAAGGATGTCTAGATGGTATTTACGCGAGTGTGACCAGATAGACAACTGAAGGAAAAATTTCTCTCCATAGATTCTAGCATGGAAGGGCTTCAAAACCGTTCAGTCATTTATAACATTGGTTATGGGTGGTCAAAGGTGGCAGGTATCACTGCTGCCAATTTGGATGCAGACTGGTGTGCGATAAAAGTGCCGCAAACAGGGAACTCGGGATGTGCAACAACCAGGACAACAGGGCATGAGCCCCTGACTCTACAACCATCCGGACCAGGGCTCAAACCTCGGGTCTTCGCGACCTGGGTACGGGTTACTGACAATAGCAACTAGGCCAGACATGACCATTCTAGCCTTTTTTTATCTTTCACAGACTGTCAGGAGCGAGCACGCAGGCAAACACAGATCACGCAAGTGGATGCACGTGCACGACCAACCAAAATGCATGCAAGAGCGGGCCTACATGATGACGAGGGGAGGATCAGAAAGGTCAAAAAACAATTGCGAAATCGGGCGGCGTGCAAAAACGTGTTAGGACTAACAAAGACCAGGGGTGGGAAATTGAGCTGGTACGCTAGCATCGAGGGTTAGCACTCGGGCAGACAAAAAGCAACAGAACCAAGAGGAAACAACACAACCTAAGTCCACGGGCCCGGAGACAATGGGCGCAAAGTAAACGTTAAATTAGGTTAAACATGGGTGAATGCAAACGGAGCTTTGGGAGGATGGGGTGGGGTAAGTGATGCCGTACCCAGGAATCGTCGCCATCTTGGTAGCGCTACAAAAAATTACATGTACAAGCAGGGAGTTTTAGGATTAAGAAAGCACTTTCAATGACAAAAAGGGAGGTTTGGCTAATCAAGAAGATAAGAGCAGGATTTAGGCTTCCATATAGCTGTGGTGTATCACAAACATGAAACGGTTCTTAGGAGACTGATTAGGTAAGGCAGCTTCGTGTATCCTTCTACAGGGTATGAACAACACGCAATCATAAATTTCACTTTGCAGACCCTTATGACCCCTAAACGTCATGCTTATTTTGGTCCTTTTTAATGAAGCTAAAATTGCAAGCAAGTCACTGTGTAATAAGACGCTAGCTGACTTTATCGACATGAAACAGTCAAGAAGAATTCAATGGCGGGGGGCGTAGAAAATCGACGTTGACAAAATACCTGAAAGAGGGGATGGAAGTAGAGCTCTTCAGCAGTTGGTCGAAAACAGGCCAACGGGTGGATGCAGGCACTGATGACCATGCGGACAGTCGGATTGCTTATTTTTTGCATCAGGTCAGGTCCATGACCAGACATAGTCTTTGCAGCCACCTGGATCATGGTGTCACACTCATCGTAGGGTGTTCGATTTGTCATAACCTCGAGCATTAGCATACCAAAGGCGTATATATCCACCTTTTCATCGTATTTCTCATCAAAGATCTCCGGTGCCATAAAACCCAGTGTGCCTAGGCAGAAAGAAACCAACGTCATTCAAGCATGCGAATGTCAACTTAGCCCCATGATGACAGACTGTCAGTGCTCCTGCAGCGGTCTCTAAGCTGAAAGACTAAGATAAATTTGCAGGCCAACCAAACGCTAACCAACGACCTAGGGTAGAACAGGCGAATGAGTCAGCTTTCCATAAAACATCAAATGAAATGTAGCAGCAACGCATGGAAGTAGTCAACTTCTGCAAAGGATACACCACTTGGTCAAAAATGCGTTTTAAGGACAAACAGGCCCTCTTGGTCGCTGAAAGGGAGGTTGCTGTTGCAAAGTGCGGAAAACTGCTTCAGAAAAGCAGGTCAAGAGTCACCGTCGGACGCGGAAAGCTGCTGAAGTAAGCTGCCTGGGTCGACTTATTTGATAATGTTGCCAAGGTTAGCGTCTAGCCTCTGTCATTTGTATTCAATATATAGCTGGCGTGCCTCTTTCATATTCTCGTTTTCTACTACATTTAAGCAAACATAATCAGGATAAGCTGCAGCGTGTTCTGTAGCCATGAGTCGACGGTTCGGCCGCCGCAAACGACAAATATCACAGCTGCCCCAGAAGTTGGACGCAGTCACAGTTTGAGGGTGAATTTGTTTTTAGAGAGGCACAGGACGCTTTTTATCACCGCTGATTGAGGACCTTATGCGGTATGGCAGGGATCCAGGCTGAAATTCAGACGATGATAACATGAAACTCAAATAAAGATAGACTGTTGATACTGTTTACCAGACGGTCAGTTGGTCCATTTTAGAGTTTTGAACTTAGTTTTACCAT